CCCAGCCCCAGCCCCAGCCCCAGCCCCAGCCCCAGCCCCAGCCGCCTCTTCTTACTAGCTAAGCTCAAAGCCTGTTTTGCAAGCTCAGCTCAAAGGGGGCTTCTTCCAGGAAGACTTCCCCATCTGTCCCGTCCACACACACCCAAGTCCTGGGCACACCTTATCACAGAGCATATGAAATGGGGTTACGTGTGACTATTTCCTGTCTCCCTTCCAAACTTGGAGTTCCCTGAGGCCAGAGCTGTGCCTGTCTCTAGTTCCCAGCTTGTAGGCCCTCCAAATAGAGTGAGGGCCTGCCGGTGGGAGCGGAGAGGATGCCTCTGCCATTCCTTATCCTTCCCCTGCTTGTTCTTTCTGAGAAGTTTCTTAAAAGACTCTGCCCCCGTGTTTTTTTCTGTCTACTGCTTCCCACCAGCCCACACTGATTCTTCAAATCAAACACACACACACATAGGCAAGAAGCAACTTCCCAAACCTACAGAGACGTTGAAAGATCAACCAACATTCATGCATCCTTGGCCTAGATTCAGCAATAGTTAACCAAGTCAATTTTCTGTTACTAGTTCATTGGAAGCATTGGAAATCCGTGAGGTGAGTTGTTTTTGTAAGGGTTTATAGAACATGAGAACTTATGACGAATAGAGCCTGGAATTTGTTCTCTTTGAGAACAGACCTTATATTTGCACATTTTAGCATTTGTCATAAAAATCTAGACTGATGACAAATAGCATGGGAATTAAAAGTTGTCAGAGTGATAAGTGTTTTGGGCATGGTCTATCAGGTTCAAGTCTCTACAACTTAATAGCTGTGTGACTTTAGGCAAGTTACTTAACCTCTCTGTGCCCCCATTGCCTTATCTGTGAAGTAGGGGAAATAATTTAAAAGTATTGTTGAGAAGATTAAATGGGTCATGTTATATGAAGGAGCTAACCTAGAGATTGTGCTTTTTAAATGGCAGTTTGCAGGTAATGGCAGAAGAGATCTGTGGCAAAGAAACTGTGGGCATCCCAACATTGTCGCCTTTGTTTAATAGCCAAGACAGTTTGGTAGCTGATAGAATTTCCTGATAGATTGGCTCCACGTGGTGGATCTTCCTCTCTCCTGGGCCTTCCCTGGAGTCCTGCAATCCACAGCCTCTCACTGTACGCAGCCGCCCTGGATTTGAGACCCCCTGGAAGCTGCTCTGCTGGAAAGTTCCTGTAAGAGGAGCCTGTTTCTCTTGGCAGTTCCCATAAAGCAGGGCACACTGAGCACGTGTCTCCTCTGTGTTCCACGAGCAAGCCCTGGGACCAGGTCGTCCCGGAGACAGGAGCCCAGGCCACTGACCACCTGGCATCCCTCCGCTGCCTGTGGCCTGACCCAGCCTGGGACTGATGAGTTCGCCATTAATGGAAACCTCCTTTGGGGCTTCAACTCTCTTTATCCAAAAATTGACATTAGATAGGAGCATTTTATTTCTGGCCTCAGTGAGCAGAGAATGGTGAATGAGGTGGAATCTGATTTCATTGATACAGACTGGGGTCCCAAAGGGCTATAGAGCAGCTTGGGGACACCGGGGCCCCACCTGCGCATGCAGAGAGCATGGGCATGGGACTGAGGGTGCTGTGGGAGTCTCATCTTTGGAAGTGACACAAAGGCCATCACCTCTTGCTCTGTGCCACCTTCTGCTAAGTGCCAGAGTAGGCTCTAGTTAGTTGTTGTTTTTTTCCCTGAATAACAACAATCACAACAAAAACCCACAGAATTTCATTGCAGGAACTCTCACCTCATGAGAACAATGTGGGCTTCAAACTCAAGTGAGCAGGCATGAGAAAAGCCACCAGTGAGCACTTCAGATAATAACAAACACACAGCTTATATGGAAAAGTAAAGTTTTGCTTGTGGCCAAAGAGCGACATGCTGCTACTCAGTCTTTCCCGATGCATTTGTACCTAGCAGGGGTGTGGGCAAGCAGATGTGAGGGCCCAACGCCTACAGAACTGGAGTGTGAGTCCACCCCACCCCACCCAGTGACCCCCAGCATGCTGAGCGGGACCACCACATCTGTGGGCAGCTGGGTTTCTATACATCAATATTCAGTGGAATAGCAGTTGCTTCTCGAGGAAACACCCACTTTACTAATGTGGAGGTATCATCCTTAAGCAATGTTGGAATTAGGCTGCCTTCTCACCTGAACCCTAGGTAGGGAATCATGAAATGAATTGAGGAGCTTTGCTAAAGCAGCAAAACCTGTTTTATAGCCTAGGACACATTAAAGTAGAAGTAATTCATCAGGCAGAAAACCATCTACTGGCTACATTTGGCAAAGCATGATCCAGCTGGGGTTGTCTCCAGCCTCAGCCCCCCAGCCCCACCCCTGCTATGTGAGTCAGTTGGAAATGAGCAGCCCAGGTTGGAAGGTGCCCCATCATCCTGACAGCTCTCCCTGGGGGTGGGGGGTGGGGTCTGTGAGTCTGGGGATCTGCACGCACTCTGAGCCAGGCTTCTGCTCTCAGTCCCCAGAAAGCCCCCCCTTGCCTTGCTTTGGGCCCCCCTCCTTCCTCCGGTAGAAGAGGAGACCTCTGACCCACTCAGGGCACCCAGATTCCCTTTAAAGACAGACTGGGTCTCCTCCTGATCCTTGGGTGTTTGATGTTTTTTCTAGCTCTCAAAGACTCCGGCAAGGGATCCATCAACAGTGACTGGAAGATAGAGCTCCCTGGAGAGTTCCAGATTGCAGGTACAACCGTCCGATATGTGCGAAGGGGCCTGTGGGAGAAGATTTCTGCCAAGGGACCAACCAAACTGCCGCTGCATTTGATGGTAACCAACTGGGTTTTCTGCTTGTCCTGGGGGAAAATTACTCTAGGAGGTCTACCAGGTTATACCTCCCAGTTCTTGTGTTTCCAGGGCCTCCATGGCAGGAGATACCTCAGATTCCAGGAGTTTACAAGGTCTCCTGCTGCTCAGTTCTCTCCCCTCTCTCAGTCTTTTCTTAACCAGTCCCTTCCAACGCACGCTTCAGAATTCTCTCCCATCTCCCCTGGCTCTTCCTGGCAGAGCTCCTGTCTTTTCCCAAAGGTGCTGCCTCCAGAAGGAATTGCTTAGCCAAGCAGGTGGCAACAATGCCTTATGAAGCAGACAGCCCCGTCCAAAGCTCATTTTAATGTCAGATGGTGGAATGCATAGATCGGCCAAGCAGATTGCATACCCACATTGGAAGCCACCTTCTGGAAATGAACTGTGGACTTCATGTCCAAACCAGCATTCCTCAGACATTCCAAACCTAATTTGCAATAGGTGTTTGGAATCAGGAAGAAGAATTGTATTCTATGGGTATATTTCCTCCCTCGATGGTCTCGAGAAACCTGTGCCATTGGGCCAGGCCAGGGCATGATCATCTTTATCTGCTGTCTCAGGGAAGTCTTCATGTGAGCCACTTAAACATTCGATTATGCATCCTTTTAAACATACTAAAGATTTCCAGTTCCTTCTCAGGGTCCGGGAATTATCTTGCCAACTTTTTGATAGCTCATAGTTATTGATCATTATCAACTCCAGGTCTCCTTCCAAAGAACATGGTTTGTGGCAGCTTGTGTGCCTGTAATCAAAGCACACTTTATCCTCAGTGCCTGCCAGAATCTGTCCTCTGAAGTTCTTTTTCCCCATTCATTTGCGATTTCTGGCAACCCATAGCTGTTCGACGTTAGGTTTTTCTGTTCACCAACCTGGGAATCTCCTGAGGCCAGCTCTTCCCATGAGCTCTAGCACCCTGTGTGGGTGTTGCTCCAGAATGGCACTAACCCCATTACAATTTCAGGGAGGACAAAAGCAAGCCATGTGCAGTGTCACCGACATGAAAATCTGTCCATGCAACCTCAACCCACTAAATCCACTGCAAATAGATTCCTGCAAGTAGGTTTCTGGGACCCAAGAACTTGTACCTAAGTCACTTTTCTGGGATAAGATTGTTTCCTAGTCAAAGTCAGAACAAATTCTCCTATTCTGAATTAAAAGCAGTTATTAAGAGGAGTTAATAGAGGAGGAAACAATAAGAGCTTACAGAAACATCACCTGTTAGCATGTGAATTCGCTTTCTTGAGAAAACGCCAAGATGCACGCATTCCCTTCTTCAACAAAAGTATTTGTAAGCTGAGCAAGTCGTCAGCCCATCACAGCAAGTACACAACCTAGATCCATTAAAACCACAGTAAACAAGCTCAGAGGAAGGAACTATTGCCATAGCTGAAGCTCTAGCCTTTGCTTGATATTAATCGCTTCTCTCTTGAAGTATGATTGTCCCTTTATGTTTTTAAACCTAGAAATGAGAGGTGCCCCTTTGCCTTGATATAGAAAGCCATTATCCCCAGTGCACACATTGCTTGCAGAGTCAGGAGCACTAGAGGGTCACAGGGACCTGCATTTGAAACCAATTACACACACACACACACACACACACACACACACACACACACAAATTATATGCGACTACAGAATTGCATGAGATTGGTTTCACATGGATTCTCTATCCACCAGTCTCATTCCCATATTGACATCATAAAGATCTCTTTTTAAGGACTAGTTTGTTTGAGAAGTGGATGTTTAGGCAGCTAGGTCTGCTCCTAGCACCCCCACCTCAGGACTCAGCCATGGAGGCTGAGCGATGCCTGGAGGGACGACGGGTTTTTTTTGTGTGATACACTTTAGCATGGCCTGCCCCAAGTTAAGTCAGGTGGACCGTGCGTACTTTGCATCTTAGCACCCACTGGCCTGTTCCTAGCTGTCTTTTGCTGGAGTTCACTTGCTGGCCGCTTACACCCAGGGATGCTCACAGGTTCCGGGCTTAGCCTGAAGAAACATTGTCTACAACGTGCCACTTGAAGCTCCTACTAGAGGTCCCATTTTGTACCTTATGTCTAGAGAAGTAAAGCTGACCACATGAGACTTGTCACGTGCTCTCCCAAAGTGCAGACCCATCCATTCCGCACGCTCACTAGGATTTCAGACCCAAGGGTCCCCAAGCCTCACAATGGCTCCTTACAGAATACGATAGACTCCTTCCCCCACCTCCATCCTACTCCCAGCTTTAAGCCCTGAGCTAGACCTCTGCCATCTGTCATCATCCTGGCTCTTATGGCCATGGAGGGCTTTTGTAGCCTTGGACTCCCAAACAGATTCCTCCAAAGTCCCCCTGCAGTGGGTCATCTTTGCCCTTTAGTTTGCCTTACCCTTGACTCTGAACCTACTGCTACTTCACCATGATTGGTGACACTGGAGTGAAGGACAATGTTCTTTTCCAAAGACCTAGAGTAACCTACTTGCTCAGTTGCCTTTCTAGGTAAGCGAGTATATGTGTGTCTGTCTGGTCTGCAAGGGCAGCTTCATGGCTGAGTAGTGGGAAGGTGGCCTTGTCTCTGCATGGAGTAGTTCTCCATGGAAGTGCAAGAGCCCACCAAGTTGCTTATCCCTCAACTCCCCATCTAATGGGTCCTCTCTCAGTAGGAAGGAGCAGACCTCCCTGATGATAGTTTGCATTTGCTCCACCTGCAAGTGTACCAGAGGAATCCAAGGTCGAGATAAAGTAGCACCCCTACACTGAATTTGTGTTGAGCTTCAGAAAAGAGCTGGTTCCGGTGGTGGAGAAGCTGCTGCCATGAGGCTTGGCTTGCAGACTCAACAATGCCATAGGCTTTTGTTCCTTTTCAAAATGGCCATTCATTTTGCTACTGATCCAGGTGCTGCTATTTCACGACCAGAATTATGGAATTCATTATGAATACACTGTTCCTGTAAACCACACTGCTGAGAATCAGAGTGAGCCAGAAAAGCCGCAGGACTCACTGTTCCTGTGGACCCACAGCAGCTGGGAAGGCTGCAGTGTGCAGTGTGGAGGAGGTGAGTGCCCGTCACGGCTCCCAGCGTGGGTCTTGCTGAAGGAAAAGTGGGTCAGGGCCCACGGCAGCCAGCCTGCAGAGTGTGGGAAGTATGTGACCTGTATTTCCACAGGAATGTACCCACACCCCACCCAAAATCTCTCAGCAGGACATGTGGCCAGAGTCTTTCCATCTCCACCTATAGTTGTGCCCACACCGCTGCCCCCCCACCTCAAACTCTGACCTATGGGTGGAGGTTTAGCCAACGGATGGCTATACCTCACGTCTGACAGGTGGACCCTGGGAATGAGCAGAATAGACCTTCAACTGTTGCTGCTTGACAGATGGGCACCAGAAGACATCTCTGCCCCCTCCCAAATTCCCTTTCCTTCCTATAACCTCACTACAGGATACAATGGAAGGAAAAAGTCCTACAAGTTGGGTGAAACATTCTGAGCATGAGCCCTGACCCCACAACTTCCTGCCCTCCCTCAGCAACCGACTCACCTTCTCTACACCCGCATTTCCTCACTTCTAAAATGAAACAAAGTGCAGACCCATCCATTCTGCACACTCACTAGGATTTCAGACCCAAGTGTCCCCAAGCCTCATGATGGCTCCCTACAAAATATGATAGACTCCATTCCCTCACCTCCTCTCTACTCCCAGCTTTAATCCCTGAGCCAGACCTCTGCCATCCATGGGAATGATTGTCCCTTGCACCCACTGTAGGACCACGGGGTGAGTCAGAGAGCCTGGCATCCTGCAACAACCAGCATGAGCAAAAGTCCTTATGTGTTTGATTTTGTCATTAGGTCATCTAGAAGTAGCAATAAGAAGCCATTTTGAACTCTCAGCCAGCACCTTCATAATCCAACGCTGTGACCCTAACAGGGCACACAGCAGGGTCATGGGAGAGGACACGTGGTGGTAGATTGTGCTGGGCACAGAGCTGGGGCAGAAGGTTGGCCTGGATTCTGGGATGCCAAGAGAGTGAGATTGCAGGGTGGATCCTGGGCAACTGTGAACTGCTTAGTTGATGCCTGGTATCCAATATGCAAAGAATTGATTACTATTTAAGGGCCTTGCCCCATTTTTCATGGGTAGAAATTACAGTCACAGCATGACTAAGCCCATCAGACACTGAGGGTCAACTGTGAATTCCTTCCTGTGCCTCCTGGCTGACCTCCTCCCCTGTTCGTTCTTTGCCTCTTGATGAGGCAGTCCTGTGGCAACTGGCAGAGCCTCTGACTCCACCATTGGCCCTGCCACCCTCCACTCTGCACCTCTCCCCAAGGGTCCTCCTCTCTCTCAGCCCTTCAGCTGCCCCACCATGCCAATGGCCTTCCATCCAGATCCAACTAACACCTCTATCTCTCACTGCAACCAGACTTTTCCTTTTGGGCAACTTACTGCAAGCTAATCACAGCCCAAATGGAATAGTTGACAGGTTCTCCTCGGTGAAGGAGTGGGAGACTGTCCTGCTGCTGTCTCTGCTGGCTTGGTGCCAGTCTCTTTATGATATTGATGACTTTCCTAACACAGTTGTCAGACCTGCCACCAAAGCTGAAAGCAGCTCTGTGCCGTTCAGACTCCGTAATTTCAAGCCATCCTTATGTGACAAATTTCCCAGGAGAGACACCCAGAAAGGAGTCCTGGATCCATATAGTTGTACTTGATCTCCATCTTCATCTTTTATTGTCACTCTTCTTAAATAATAATAGTGACAGCAACTATAGCTAACTTGAAGTGTTATCCACCTGCCAGGTTCTATTCTAGCATTTTGTATGTATTAGTTCACTTGAACCATCACTGAAGCACCTTAAGGCACAGGAAGGTTAAGTAAACCAGCCCACTTGGGGAAACTGAGACACAAAAGCATGGCAGCCAACGGTTGACACTCAGATCACTGGGATACTGCTAGTGATGGAGCCAAGACTTGCACTCAGACACCCTGGTTCCAGAAACTACCCTCCTAACTCCCAATCATTCGTCCTTCCTGACACAGGGAGGCCATGCAGTGTTTAGGGTGCTTTGGGAACACCCAAAAGTAGGGCTATATCCAGTTGGCGTCATGGGTCTTAGCAGAGCATCCCAAGAGCAGGTGCCACTTAGGTATAAGTGCCCATTGGTGGATCAGACAAGTTCAAATTGACTCTGGAATCCCTGTCTGGAGGACACAGGTCTGTGTGTCCTTCAGACCAGCCTCCCTGTTCCCCCAGCAAGCAGTTATTATGTAATAGATAGCCAAACTCTCTGCTAAGAGCTGATATACGGATATGTAATTGAGATCAGATCTCCATAGACTTTAAACATCAAATAAACAGATTAAAAGATTGACGATCTGACCAGACATGGTAGCTCATTCCTGTAATCCCAGCATTTTGGGAGTTCAAGGCAGGAAGATTGTTTGAGCCAGAAGTTTGAGACCAAACTAGGCAACAAAATGAGACCTCGTCTCTACCAAAAAATTTTAAAAATAGCCAGGTGTTGTGGCATACATATGTAGTCCCAGCTACTCCAGAGGCTGAAGTGGAAGGATCACCTGAGCCCAGGAGGTTTATCCTACAGTGAGCCGTATTGTGCCACTACACTCCAGCCTGGCAGACAAAATGAGACTCTAACTCAAAGAATAATAATAATAGAAGATTTGCAGTCTTTAGTAGAAATTAAAGTCCCAGATCAGAGCTTTGGCCTCAACGAATACCAAGCTGCCCAAGGACACAGCTGATCTAGGAGTTGCTGCTTTCTGATCTTGTTCTAGAATCTTCACTCTGCCTCACATGGCCCCTGCCAGGCCTTGCCCACTTTCATCCCTAAGATTACAGTTCTTCCTCTCTGGCAACCAACTTGGCATTTACAACTGTCACTTTAAATGTCAGACTGAACAATAGCAGCACCTGGACACTCCTCTCAGCTCCCTGTGGTTTGGTTTCCAGGGGAACGCAGAACCATAGTATCCTGCACGCGTATTGTCAACAAGACCACAACTCTGGTGAATGACAGTGATTGCCCTCAAGCAAGCCGCCCAGAGCCCCAAGTCCGAAGGTGCAACTCACACCCCTGCCAGTCACGGTAAGAAGATGCGTCCTGTAGTGTGGACCTACCAGGGTCTGGGGCAGCAGCCCCGAGAATAGGGGGCTGATGGTACAATTAATACCACTGTATCCCTCTGTGCCATGTTCTGTCATTATTGCTGAATGGTTTCTGCTTACTTGAAATACCAAATTTCTGCCTAGCTGTAAGATGTCCTGTAAGAGGTCATTAATAACATCGCATCTCATAGGAAAAACATAGCTATCACCACACACTTAACTGGTACTCACCTGCTCCCCCAAGTAACTTTGTCTTGGGGAAAAAGGAAATAAATGTTAGCATCTGAGAGCCCAGGAGTAAGTGTGCACAGAAGTTAATGTGATTGACATGTTTCGGTGGCTGAAATCAATGCCAGTGAGTACAGATCTTGGTGCTTATTTTTGGGAATCCATCAGAACTTCAACCTCAGCTTTTGTGACCATGTTACTGATGTGTTCTGGAATGAACTCTATTGGGTTCTCAGCCGAGGTGAGTTGTTGGAGATGTGTTCATCAGCTGAGACTCTTTTGTTCCAGTTGCTTTAGTGGGACTTTGCATAGTATTATGACTCTGTTACATTGTATAAGTCATCCCTTGGCTTACCGTTCTGCTCTGAATTAAGGTGAATAATTATTGTTAATGGTTCTGTGCATCATGTTAAGGCATGTTTATCTTTTCTTTTTTGAAATGTATTTTATTTTATTTTTACTTTAAAGATGGGAGGTACAATTCAGAATTAGGTACATAAGTGGACTATGTACAGGTGAAGTTTGGGCCTCCCATTAGCCCTCCCTGATCCTGGTTTAAGATCAGGTACGCTTAGTGATGTTGTGTTCTCCCCCACACTCTTCCTTCCCTGGTAGTGTCCGGCTACTGCCAGTCCCTTTCTTGGTATTATGATAAGTGTTCAAGGTTCACTTACAAGTGAGAACATGTGGTAGTTAGTTCTTTGTTTCTGTGACAGATCACTGAGTATGATAGATTCTAAATCCATTACCTTTTCTAACTAGCCTGAGCGTTTGATATTTCAGTTTTTTGGGTTTCATAACTTAACCTTGCACTGCTTGCCTGATACAAGAGCTTCACAAAGCATATGGCTTTTGCGCCATCCCCCTTTGCCTTGTCAAACTCTTAAAATGTGTTTGAGTGAAGGAGAACTCAGGAGGGAAAGCAATTGTATGTGCTCCTTGGCAAACTAAGAATAAAATTCACCTGGGCGCAGTGGTTCAAGCCTGTAATCCCAGCACTTGGGAGGCCAAGGCAAGAGGATTGCCTGAACCCGTGGGTTTGAGACCAGCCTGGGCAACATGGTGAAACCTCATCTACAAAAAAATCAAAAAAATTAGCTGGGCATGGTAATGCTGCATGCCTGTAGTTCCGGTAACTTGGAAGACTGAGGCGGGAGGATCACCAGAGACCAGCAGGTCGACACTGGGCATGGAGTGAAACTCCAACTCAAAAATAGCAATAATAAAATTCTACCCTAATGCTGAAGGTCTTAAGGAAGAGTTCACTGCAGAAAGGCTTCTTGAGTATCTTGGATATGAATAGCCATTCCACAGACATATCAATCAGTCAGTGTAAGGCCAAAGATGGATTGACTTTCTACTGTGTAGACACAATGATTCATTGGACCATGTTCTCTTCTCCTAAAACTAAAGATGGCTTGGCCCTGGCGACTTGATTAGAAAGTAAAAAAAGTAATCTAAGAGGATCAGCATGGGTTCAAAGGCACAACTGAGCAAAAATAATCTTGAGGATCCATTCAAGAATCATATTTTAAAATTAATTATGTTTGCAAAGTATTTTAGTAGCCAAATATCTTAAAAATTATGCACAGAAACCAAACAAACCAAATAAAATGAAACATATGAAATGAGAGCTGTGACTGAATTGAGATTCACATGGGGTACTGAAGCAGGGCCAGTCCTTCCCACCTTCCTCGCTTCCCACAGGAGGACTTGACACCTCTGTGGGGCTCCAAGGAGAATAGAGTTTGAAAACTGTCAGTCAAGAATTCTGCTTCCTGTAATGATGGAGTAGTTTGTATTGGACCAAACCTCCTGCAGATTGCAATTATGAACTCTGAAGAAAATACATAAAGCAACTGTTTAAAATCTAGAAAGTAATCAGAAACCAACTGTTTAAAATCTAGAAAGTAATCAGAAACCAAAGATAAGTAGGCAAATGGAAGAATAGACTGGTACTGAACAAATTTCCCATGTTGACAGCTTTCCAACTCAGTGGATGTTCTAGGTCCATGAGGACTAGCTAAAACTCTGATGGATACCTGCCATCTTTTAATGATTAAGCCATCAGGGATAATTTTCAGGGCAATCATAGCAGCTGGAAACAGAAGGGTACTCCCAAATTCTGCATATATATATGTTTGACCCAAATCTCTAAGAATAGGACAGGTGCAGGGCAGACTCCCACATTGCACAGCTAAGGCTAGAAGACCTGGTCTGGGATTGTAGCTGCTGACAACCACAAGGAAACATGGGTTGGAGTTTTATTCCAGCCAAATTAGTTGCCTGCTAAAAACAAAAAATGTTTTTCTAAAGTAATATTCTAGAGGTGTACTGCTCAATATGGTAGCCACCAACTAGTCCAAATTGAGATGTACTATAATATGAACTAAGTTTCAAAGATTTAGTATGAAAAGAGATCGTAAATCTTAATAATTTAAGATTATAAAATATCTTAATTTTTAATGTGATTACATTGATTAACAATCATCCAAAATGGTTACATTTAAGACACATTGGGTCAAATAAAATATATTATTAAATTTTTAATCTTTTTTTTTACTATTTCAATGTGGCTATTAGAAAATTCAGATTACATATACACTTCGCATTCTGTTTCTATTGAATAGTGCTGCTGTTGATTAATGTTTCAATTGAAATGTTCAGGGTACAAATGCAAAATTACTAGTTGTACAAAGAAACTGACCCATACTCATAAGAGAAGGATTAATGAAGATTGACTTCAAGACAGCATATACATTGAATTAGAAGAAAAGGATTTTAAAGCAGCTATTGTAACTATCCTCATAAACATAAGGAAAACTATGCTCATGATCCCTGAACTCATAGGAAATCTCAGCAGAAAAAGAGAGATACTCAAAAATATTTTAGAACTAAATGATACACTATCTGAAATTTTAAAAAATTCATGTGTCTAACAATGGATTGGAGACAATAAAAGAATGATTTTTAATTTGAAGACAGAGAAATAGACATTATTCAGTCTGAACCAGGGAAAGAAAAAAAAATTGTTGATAATGGCACAGACCTCAGTTATTTGTGGGACGGTATTAAGCATTCTTTTTTTTTTTTTCTTTTCTTTTTTAATTTTTATTTTAAAGATGGGTACAGTTCAGAGTTAGGTATAAAAATGGTCATTGAAACCAGGCTCGGTGGCTCAGCCTGTAATCCCGCGCCTTTGGGAGGCTGAGGTGAGTGGATTGCCTGAACCAGCGTATTCGAGACCCGCCTGGGCAGCGAGACCTCATCTCTACAATAAATCAAAAAATTGGCCGGACGTGGTAGCGTGTGCCTGTAGTTCCAGCTACTTGGAAGGCTGAGGCAGAAGGATTGCCGGAGCCCAGCAGGTCGAGGCTGCAGTGGCTGGGAGTGGCCACTGCACTGCAGTCTGGACAGCAGAGTGAGACTCCAACTCAAAAAAAAAAAAAAGAGGTCATTGAACTGGTAAAGTTTGGGCCTCACTTGGATTCCCACTTCACCTGGTTTGAGATGAGGTACCCTTATTGGTGAGGTGTGCTCCTCTCTCCCTCCCCTGACAGTATCCCACTACTACCAATCCCCTTCTTGTAGTATTATAATAATTGTTCAGGGTCTGCTTATGAGTGAGAACATGTGGCAGTCAGCTCTTTATTTCTGTGACAGATCACTGAGTATTATAGACTCTAGATCCATCCAAGTTGCTGCAGAGTTCGTAATTTTGCTCTTCTTTATGGCTGTGTAATATATTCCATCGTGTATATGTACCATATTTTTTAAATCCAGTCCACTTTCAATGAGTAGCACAGTTGGTTCCATGTTTTTGCTATTGTAAATAATGCTGCAATAAACATGTGTGCAGGTATCTTTTTCATAGAGTGATTTTGAGTTCCTCCAGCTATATTCCCAGTAGAGGGATTGCGGGGTCATATGGAAGGTCGATTGTTAGATCTTTTAGGAATCACCAAACTGTTTTCCACAGAGGTTATACTAGTTACACTCCCACCAACAGTGTAGAAGTATTCCCTTTTCCGCACATCCTTTCCAGCATCTGTTTTTTGTTTTGTTTTTGAGTTATTGATGATGGCCATCCTGACTGGAGTTGAGTGGTATCTCAGTGTGGTTTTAATTTGCATTTCTTTGATGATTAGTGTACATGTTTTCATGTATCTGTTGGCTGCTTGTATGTATTCTTTTGAGAAGCATCTATTCATATTTTTTGCCTACTTTTTAATAGGGCTCTTTGTATACTGACAAAAAAATCAAGCATTTTAACAAAACTGTAATTGGAGTCTCAGAAGGAGAGTAGAGAGAGAATGGAACAGAAAAATAATCATTTACTTGTAGGTGACTTTTTGGGAAAAAGAAAAAAAATCTTTGAAGAAACAGTAACCAGAAAATTCCCAGATTTAATGAAAGAAGTAATCAGGTCAAATCTTCACGTTTTAACTTGATTCCAGATGAATTCAAAACACCATAACAAAGCCCTCTGGTCCATTACACCACATGGGCCAGTGTAGCAAGTTTATGGTTTTGCTTTGTATCAGTCTTCTAGGAGGGAACTTTGCTGCACTGCAAAACTCCAACCAGAAAATCATGTAGGAAGACACCTACAAAACAAAGTGACATAAAGAAACGTGAGTGAAAACTCTATAAGTAGGTTCTGTGGGGCTGCTCTAAGCTTATCATGGAAAACATCAAGTGTGTGTGTGGCTCCAGAACGCTCCCAGAGTCCTCCTGGCCTGACAGACCACA